TTAGAGTTACTGCTTCATTGAAATCTTCTTCAGGATCAGTTACTCCTGATCACTGTTTTAGCTTTTCTTTGCCACCATAGGGACTAGAAGTATCAGAGAAGATGTGAAAACTAAAATTGATTTCAACCTCGAAGCCTTCAGCTTAAGCTAGCACAGCCTATGCATCAATTCCAAATGTTCCCAAACAGTGGCTGGAATGTCACTGCCTACACGCAAATCACTTCAAATATATCTGTGTTGCACAGAGGCAAGAGCAACGGCAGTTCCCAAAACTGCCTGTACTCACCCCCATCCACAGAGATTACTAGCAATTAGTAGTCACTATTACTAGCAGCCATAGCATGCCCAAACCCCCACCGGGTTAATGGCAGAAAGGGAAGTAGAAGAGATGGATCTGATGTTCAGACAGGTCTGGAGTTGTGATACTAAACTGCAGAAGCAGACACATTCAGGTGGTGAGGACAGGTAAGTCACGCAGCTGGGATTTCATTTTAAGGGATACCATGATATAAAACAGAAAGATCTTGAAGAAGTGGGTGGAGGATCAGTCACTCAGTAGAGACAGAAGAAGTAAGCCCAAGCAAACTATCTATCCTAATTTATAGTCACCTTCAGAACACCAGCTAGCCCCCTGCCAACAGAAGTATTCTGTTGGCCACCTTTGGCAAAAGTCCTTTGCAGAGAATTTCTCTTGTCTACTGATCCCTCTTTCTACTGACAACTTTTCTCATTTCTACTGATAACTAGGCCTGAAAGGGCGGGAGGAGGGAGGACGCAGCCACAAAACACTGCATTTCTAACTTGCTGAGGATAAAAGGTAAGGGTAAGAGAGAGGGGTAAAAAAATAATAGTAATTCTTCCAGCCACCCTCCTTCCCAAGTTCCTAATCACAGTAGAAATAACTAGAGAAAAGAGTACGGCTCTAATAGGAAAGTGAGATGCGGGAGGTGATAACAAGTAACACAGAATTTGGACTGCACAAGAAAAGAGGGGTGGAATCACCTGTATTTGTGAAATGGAGACAGATATTGGTGCGCATACAGTTTGGGAGATTACTATCTGTCCATTTATTTAAAGTAACTGATTCGTGCCATCACGTTCCCTGTAAATGAAGTGCACAGTACCTTCCTCTTTCAGCCTCCTTTCTTCCTCTTCTTTCTGTAATCTCAGTTGTTCAGCTTTGCTAACTTTCTTTTTGCCACCGGACTTAATGTTTGCAATAAATTAAAAGAAAACAAATGTCAGTATTACTTTAATATGTTTTGGGAGGTATTCACCCTCTGTAATTTTGCCTCCTAATCTGATGCCTGAATTTGGATTTTAGACTCCCTACACAGTCAATGAAGCCTCCAGCACAGCAATCCACAGCCTGGACTCAATTTTCTTCTCATTTTCATGATGCAATATATGCTTTTACAATTAACGTACTATTCCATACTAGATACTCCTCGACACAGCCACTACAGAAGAATATTGCTTTAATTTAGAAATTGAATAACAGATAGATCTGCTAAGAAAGTAGTCATTACAACTTTAAATGTTTTAGGAAATAGTGGGAAATGTATTTTGGGACATAGGCAAGCCTGGCATTTAGAAGCATCTAATTTACAAGAAAACTAACAAAGTGTTCTCTTTTCTGTCTTAAAATCCTAACTGCAACTCGAGACACTAACTCCACCCAATAATTACCAATAATTTGGTAAAAATTGTTAAAAGTCATGCAATTGATAGGGAACTTAGAAATAATCAAGGAGAACCTTTGGCATTCATGACACAAAAAGTGTGTTACAAATACTGTTATTTCACATTTTGATTGGCTAGTATATTTTCAGATATAAATAACTACGTGGAAAGCTATTCACTTTGCACTACTTTGCATGGCAATGAATATATACATAAATGTAACTTTGAATACGAAGATTATCACGAAGCTTGAACAAAAACAATGGCGAAAATTTAGTGCCGACAACAAACGTACACCCACCAGAGTTAGTGTGCATCTTATCGTATTTGTTGCCAAAGAATTTATTTGCAAAATTCTCCTAGAACAGAGTCAGTAAACACCACAATTCTACCCATTAAGATTTCAGGGAAGAATCAGTTCCCTCCATTTAAAAAAAAAGATAAAAATCTTTGATTACTTTTCTTCCAGTGAAAATGGAAAATCTGCTTGTTTCAGTTACTTAGAATCTCTTTTTAGACAACTTCTTCTCACATCCTTACGACTTAAGGTAGTACTGGCAAATCTGAGATGCATAATTCTCCAAGGAATACATTTAAATGTGTTCTTTTTTTGAGGGAGGACAATTTCATTATCACTGAATTAAGAATAAGCCACGGGCATGAGTTTATGCAATCCAGTTTCCCGTGGACTTCTGTCTGCTGTCCCCCCTACCCACCATGTCCAGCTTGTGGCTCAAAGCCAGGGCCCTGGCTCTCTGCCCAGGCATCAGCTGCCAAACAAAACAGTCCGTGGCTGCACTCGCCACCTTCTCTCTAGCAGTGCTGCAGGCACACGACTCGGCCTCCTTGAAAAAGGCACGTAAGCTCAGTGTCCTGGAGATGCCTGTTCCTCTTTCAAATTTGATGGAGCCTGACCAACTGGCTCAGAAGAAATACAGGTTAAAAAACAAAAAACCCCACCTTTTTCTTTTTAAAAAGCACATTTGCATCCCATTACAGTGTCACAGCACCTTTATTATGACAAAACCTCTTAAAAATCATGGTTTTGTAGACACAAAGTCCAGAAGGAACCGATGCTTACCTTAATTTCAGTATGAAGTGCTTTGCAATTTTACTCATTTAATTTCCAAAATAACAGAATTGTCCTGGCACACTATCTAAATGAACACTGCAAGGGTCAAAATGCTGTATGTGAACTAGAGTGTATTTTCGCCTACCTACCTTTTTTTTCTTTTTTGGGCCCTAGAAGATCGGGGGGGGGAAAAAAAGGAAAGTGAGCGTCAGAGAACAAGGTATCAAGTATAAAGGAGTATACGTATATAAAAAGAAAACTATTCTGTAGAATTGGATGAGATTACCTATTGAAAAACTGTAATGACAATAATTTCAATATTGCAGAAAATTAGCCACTAACACATGACTCTGGATCATCATCAGACTAGATTACACTTACAGCTATAGAATTATACTCGCATTGTTAAAAATTAATGTACACCAAATACACAATTTAGTCCAAGACACAATTTAGTCAAAAAATGTTTTCAGTGTTTTCTGAACTCATCAATCGACATTAGGTGCTATTCCAAGCAACGCTAAATTGCATCATGAGGTGACCGAGAAGAACACAGAAACACCACCCAGTCTTTTGTTATCCAGGGGGGAAAGCGCACGTGAAGTGAAGAAATGTAATTTGGGGACTTCCCCAAACAACCACAGGACAGAAGAACAGGTTCTAGAAAGCCAAACGCCCAACATCAAAATCCCTCACTTGATTTGCCAAACCACTACCTTTTCCCCGCAACGACAAAATACTGCCATGCGAATTCGCGTAACCTCGCTGTGATTCATTACCCGCACGAGCCTATTCCCTGCGGGGTGGAGTGGGGGACGGAGGCAGCGAAGGGCGCGGGACGGCAGAGAAGTTTGTTATGGGGGAGCGGTTCCGACGAGGCGGCGTTAGGTACCTCCAAGCTGGGTTTCACGCTCAGCAGCCGCAGTGGCAAAACCGCGGCACAAGCAGTTAGCTCGGGGGATGGCGGAGCAGCCGACACGGCCTCCTGGGCGGTCTGGTCAAAGCCTTAAATCTTTGCTCCATCTACCGGTACCTCAGCAGCCCATGTGGAAGCCTGCAGTCCTGCCCTTACCCACTTAGAATCACAGAATCGTTTAGGTTGGAAAAGACCTTTAAGATCACCAAGTCCAACCGCTAACCTAACCCTGCCATCCCACCATTAAGCCTGAGCTTAATGAGCACCTCGTCTGCCCGGCTTTCGAATGCCTCCAGGGATGGGGCCTCGACCACTTCCCTGGGCAACCCGTTCCACTGCCTGACAACCCTTTTGGTGAAGACATTTTTCCCGATGTCCAACCTAAACCTGCCCTGGCGCAACTCGAGGCCATTTCCCCTCGTCCTTTCACCACCCAGTCAGCGTCTCAAGGCGCCCGCTCCCGTTACCCCTTGCCTTCCCGCTTGACCTGCGGGACCTCAAGGCCCTGCGGCTACACCGG